ACTGTAGTTTTTCCATCTGCTCGAAGGAAATGAGAGTTCATATAGAGGTATGACTAATGCCAGGCACCCAATATACTTTGATTCCTTGGCTTAATGATTTGAACATTTCTAAATAACTAATCTAAGCAACTAACAATCTATAAAACTCAATGACAAGGGTCAGCACTGCTGAAATTGGAAGGTCTTCATCACATATTAAGCTTTACACCATGAACATGTATCTTCCAGATCCACCAGTCCTGGCCCCAGGACCTTTGTCACTATCACTCTGCCAGAGAGTTAACTGTTAGACAACCAGAAGTTCAGCACACATTTGAGTATTCCAAGGAAAAAGAAAATAAATAAATCAAAAGAAAACACTTGTAAAAATGCACCTGCAAGCTTTTTATTTTCCTTTCTTTAGTTCTTCATTATTAACATACATTGACACGTGTAGATTTAATATGATGGGCCAAGCACTCTGAATAATAATATGTAGCAAAGATATGACAATAGAAAGACAAATATTATTTTCAAATTTGCATCTCTGGCTAGATGGATTGGCAGCCTGACAGGGTCTATCAGCTCACTCTCTGAAATACCCAGTTGCTAAATTTTAAAACAAGAGACCTTGGGTCTCCCTACAAGTATAGAGAAATTTCAAATTAACATTAAAAGACCATTTAACAAAGATGATTTCTGTTTAGAATCTCGCTACTTAACCCTGCTCCTTAGGTACCTTGCAGGATCCAGGATTTTTACAGTGCCATCTGTGGCAGTTTTCTCTGGGCCAATTTGGGCCAAATTCTGTAGATAATCACTCAATAAAAAAGAAATTCATAGAACTTCTTCTACAGTTTTGAAGATATCAGATAAATCAAAAAATATTTTTTTTAAACTTCTATTTACAACAGTTTTTACCATGTATGGATATATTTTGTTTGTTTGGTTGGTTTTGCTGTAAACAAACATACGGGCTTCCACATATAAATAATGCTTATTAGATATGTATAAAAGAAGTTATCTCAGTGACCCCCTAAGCTAGAACTTATAAGAGTGGATTTATTTTCTTATTCTAGTTCTCTTTATTCCAGCACCAGAATACAACTAACACTCAAAAACCCTGCAAAAGGGAAACCAGAAAGTGCCTTAACATGCTCAGCAGTTAGTGATTCAACTGGCTTCTGGTTGCACCCAGGCTCCACAGGGAGAGCAGCACAAGCCGCCACTCACCAGATTACAGATCAAACTGTTCAAAAGCGCAGCACTTTATTAGTTCTCACAGGCTGTTTCACAGCTCCCCTCCCTCAAGGGGCCTCACTTTACCTCTAGGCAAAGCAGGGAACAAACCATTCTATGACCGCAACAAGGTGGCATTAAAATGGCCCCTGGTAAGAGAAGGTGCTGATGCGACACATGAGGAAAACACACAACCTTCCTCAACCCAAGGAGCCTATAGTGCCACCCACAAAGGGCAAGCATATAGACACCGCAATTTAAATTTCGTAAGAGTTGGAGCAAGTTTTACCTCGTGTCCACGGAGGCCTTTAAGGCGCTGGGTCTGGTAGTTTTCTCCAAAGAGTATTGCCAGTCTCAGGTGATTAAAACCTTTTTTGACATCACTGCCACTCTCCCCTGCATCTGCAGCCCCGGAGCACCTGTGGGTCACTGCATGGATACTAGCAGGGGCTTGAGGAGCACGGATGTCACATGCTGCCCGTGTCCCCCGGGTGACACGGGTGGTCGCTGCATGTCAATATCCGACCTCGTGGAGCATGCCCTATGCCTGGCCAGACCGCCAGCGTGGAACGGGCCTCTGCGGCCGCCGGCGCGGCCCCTTCTCCCCCCGCAGCGCCACCGGCGCCACGACGCCTCCAGCAGACAAGATGGCGCCCCCACGCGGCCGGCGGGGACGAAGCCTCCCCCCCGCGGCACGTGCCTGAGGGCGGCGGTACCGCGTCGTCACCAACGCTTCCGACCAGGAAAAATGACCCTGGCCCCATTAAAGGGGGGAAAAAAAAAAAAGACTGGTAGAAGTCTTTTCACATTTCTAGGTCACTCATGAGAGATGTTACTTTGATCTGGGAAAGAACAGAAAATTCTTCTTCCAGAGACAAAGTGTGGGGAGGACAAACACTGCCTCATATAGAACACCAAGAATCCAGGTCCCGAGAGCTGCCTTAGAGGAAAACCCAACCTGACCCTTCTCGCAATGCAGCATTGAGTCTGCACTCGGCAAGCTGGTCCCTCCAACCGCTTCGATTTTACAATTAGTTCAGTGCCAAGTAGACTTTTTTCACAGTACGGTGCTTGTTTTCCTATGGTGGTCACAGGCTGCTGCTGCGCCCTTCCCTCTCAGAGGCAAGCAAAGTCGCTACAGCTCCATGCCTCAGCAAGCTAAAAATGCAAAGCAAATTTGTACCATGGAAAACCGTTTCCCGGGTGTTCAATCTGCAGGTCAAGGGGATGCAGCTTCCAACCTGTGTAAGTGGCTTTAGGTGCAAAGAAGAAGTCAGAACAAGCACAATCAGTTTTCACACATTACTCACCTCTCCGTTCCAGCAGTAGCAGAAATTGCCCTAAAATTTGCAGGGTGGCATCTCTACATGCACGTTAGCAAGGCGCTGCCTTCTGAAGTCAGGCAAGGACCCTCAAATGGGCTTCCTTAATAGATGCCACCATAATTCTGTTCCTGCGCTCCACACATCCCCACATCCCTCCACACATCCCCACATCCCTCATGCAGCTCGGCTGCAGCTGCATGCCCAGAGTATCCTTGGGGAAAAAAAGCCTCCAGCACAGGATTATGTTTTGTCTTATTTCATTAGCAGAAAATGCAGCAAAAGTAGATCCTCAATCCTTGAAGTCATTACAGACGTGTAAGCAAGAAATTCTAATCACGTTTTAAATGTTTTTGTATTCAATGTCCTTGACCATCTTAAGTAATTGAGAAGGGAAGATGCTGCAGAACAAAAATGGGTGGAAAAAAAAGGAATGGATCACATAACATGAAAATCAATACTGTATGTGTGTACAGATGCCATATTTTGATTAAATCTTTATTAAATAAAGAGCTTTAATTGGTTCATATCAACTTCCTTGTGCAATGAAAGCATAAAAGGAAGCTGGGCAAAACCACCAGCCTCTCGATGTGCCCCTCTCTCCCAGTGACTACTGAAAAACCCTAGTCAGCTTAAGCTCTTAAGTTAGGCACCTCTGTGAAGCGTCTAAAGTTAGGCTGGCTGAATGCAAGCCAAGCTGTCGAACAGATGGAGTGAAATCCTCCTCTTGATAACAGGAACTTTATATCGCTGCCATGGATAAGAAGGGCAGCTAAAAAAAGTCAGGGAGGTGGTTATATAAATTTCAAGAAGGCCTCCCAGCAACACTTCAAGGTAAAAGTTTTTGATAGATCTCAGATATTCACTTCCAGCTGAAGACTATCAACAGCCAAGGAGTATTCTGCTGCAGACAGGAGACGCTCACACGACCGGTGCGGCGCGGAGCAGCTGCGCTGGAGACGGCAGAACATGAGCGAGTGCCACCTCCCTCGAGCCTGGCGCACAAACCAGCTGAGAGGCAGATGTGAGCGGAAAGATAATTAACTATCAGTGGATAACTAGCCAGCTTATTAATGCCAAAAATGCTAACGAATAGACCCACTCCTTTTCACTCGCAGATCTGAAAAACAGTCTTGCTTGCAGCAGCTTTGACTCAACATCTCTTTTTTTAACCTTGCTTATTCAGTCTTGAACATCTGCTAATGCATCTTCTTCAAAATGACATTCTTCCTTGTTATAGTTCACATATTATTGGGTTTCAGAGGATAGGGCTCTCAGCACAGGACCCTTTTTTTTTTAAAATTAGTTGCAGATATTTTAAGAGGAGTCAGATGAGACTCCATTTAAAGATATAAGTAATATTTATTTTCAGGCATCAACACACTTCAGATAGATGTTTAAAATAACCCAGAATGACTGGAAACTAACATATTTCCTAGAAAACTTTCCAAAGCAATTAGTTTTCCTTTTTTTTTTTTATCCATACTAAAAGGAATACTATATGCTATGTGCAATTGTGAAGCATTGTTCACTTGCAGTACGGATGGGATCATTAACAACAACAACAAAAAACTTCTCTGATTTAAGTATTGCTTTTTTGGAGGAAGAAGTTGTTTCCCAGTCTCTTTGGAAAGATAAATAGAAGTGCCTTGTTTTGTTTTTCCCCTTTTCCCCATTAGCTTCAAACTTCCCCCAAAAGTTATAACTGAGAAATTGCAGAACTCAAATTACCAAGGGATGCTCCTCTGCAAAAGACAAAGCAGCAAACCCTACCCATAACCTTATAATGCCATTCTCATAAAGCAGAAGTATGGTTAAGTAAACTGACAGCATGATAACAGCCTCTCAGAACAGGGCTGCTATCAGAGTCACCTTTAGTCATTCCAGTGACAAAAATACATTTTTACTACTTGTTATCTCTGCAGAACACACGCAGCTCTGGGAGCCCGAGCTGCACTGTGACCCAATTAGTAGAGTCATCCAGTTGCACAGCTAAACCCCATGTTCAGCGATGACTAAAAAATCCCAGTGAAGATGACGTGCACAACATTTGACCCCACCAAATTTATGTTACTTTTGATGATGAGCAGAAATTCCCTACCCTTTTTTTTTTTTTCCTCTTCCCCCAGATCCAAGCAGAACCTGGTGGGCCACAGGAAAAAAATATATATATTCTGAATTGGGTATATCTGAGAAACACTCAGTCACAGACCTCAGGGTGAACAAGGTCATTTTTGTGGTGTCTTTTTATAAAGCAAAATCTACATTTTATTATATAAGACAGTATTTTGCAACACTCTGAATATGCAGTCTTTTTATCAAGACTTTTGCAGCATTAATATTGCTTGGGCTTTAGAGAAGCTTGCAGCTGCTAAAGCTTCTATTTTAAAAAGAGAATTGGTTTTGTATTGCAAAATATTTAATGAATTTGCTGTTAAAATGAAATGAAACAAGAAAGTTGTTATACAATTTTACTAGTTTATAGTTCAATTCATAAAGTATACACACTGCAACTATGCTACCACAATGTCCACGCATCTAATATTGATGGAGTTACAGTATTTTTTGGTATTAAACAATAATGTATGCAGTTAAGGAAAAAAAGCTTGGACATAGCCTGTTCTATCCTGTAGTTACAGAGTACATTAGCTAGCATTAGTACAGTAAACAAGAAAAAGGTAGAAATACAAAATAAACCAAATATCTTTATATACAAACCAGTGCCTCTTATTGTTACCAGCTTATACTCACACTGCACACAAAATTTATCCACTGATGCAATAGATACTTCAGCATAACACAAAACCATTATAAATTAAAAAATTACAAGGTGCAAAACTCCATTCTACAGCTTTCTGGTGAGAACTCAAGACATTCCAACGGATAAAAATCCAAGCACGTTTAGCACCTATTAGTGCAACTGCGTCGAGCGTGGTAAGTGACCTACACAATCTCTGCACTTGTCACCCGGGGAGCCAGCTGGATCGCTGCAGATCCTCGCAGCTGCACTCGCGCAGTGACTTTTGCCTCATATATATCTCAGTTTATTGTTTCTTTGTCCCATTCATACCTATGTGCAAAACTAAATCCTGGAAGCTTTCTTAGAGCTTCACAGAAGGCCTGCTACAGCCTGGTAAAAAAACAAACAAAAAACAAAAGCTCGACAAAAAAAAAAAAACAAACAAAAAGACTTACTTAAATGTCAGACCATCCACATAATTAGTACTTATTAGCAGTCTTGATGTCAGGGGTTTTAATGCTGTTGATGTGTGGATTTAACAACATGACACAGAAGCAAAACAGAAATTTGCCAAGAATTCTGATTATTCTTGTCTAGCACTTAGAAAAAGCCCCCAACCTCAGGTTGTGAATTTGTTTGGCAGCCCATGCCAAAAAAAGCCCAGAGTTGCATAGAATTGATTAGTAACAGAAAGAAATGCCAAACACAGAGATGGATGCTGCATCTACCTACTAAAACAAAGTGGGGTTGCTCCGACAGGAATGCTGAAATCATCCCCATTCATAAAGCAAAACACGTCACCTCCTACTCTCCATATCCTACCTCTGGGGACTGCTTTCTGGCACTGATGTAGTTCTTGCTAAAGTCTTTTTTTAATATATATATTTTTTTCTATTTTTTTTTCTTTTTATTTTGTTAGTGACACTTTTCCTTTCAAATAAAATATTAAAAAAGGTTATAACTGTAAAAAAACCTATCATATGTAAACTTAACGATTAGGGTTTGGTAAGTTCTCGTACCTAGTCTGTGAAAAGCCTCCAGCCAGACCGCAGAATGGAGTGTTTCTCTGAAGAGCTTCAATCTAGCTACATCACCTGTTAAATATCAGTAGTATGAAGATCCTGTGTCTAGCAATAAAGCCTTTTTTTTTGTGTTTCCATCCTCTTTCTCACTGACCTATTGAATCCTGACATGCTGTGTTTCTATGTTATTTACATTCTGGTCCTCTCACGTCACAGAATTAAACATCTGGCCAACGAAGGCAACAAAAGGTGTTGTGTTAAGAAGGTGGTTGACAGAGTTCTGCTTTTCAACAAGTCTCTTTTCCTTGGACTCCAGTCACTGTTTTTATAGAGCTTATTGTTCTGTTGAACCATGTTTTCTTTGCAGCTTGTACCTCATTCAATGCCAGACCCAAATGGTGCTCCAAATCCTGCAAAGAGAAGAATAATTTATTTGCTTTGTTATGTATACAAAGTTATGTAAGTTAAACTTAGAAGGCTTTAAGACCTCTACGGTCTCTCGGCTATTTCAGGAGGTAAACAAGTCTTGCATAATTTAAATGTAGCACCACAAGCAGATGAAATAAAGATCTTTCAAAAGCAAAACAAATCTTGTGTTATTACCTTTCATGAAACAGCCAAATTTCATCAGCACATCCATACCCTTTAATTCATTCCTCTCAAAACACTGAGAAGGAAGTGTTCACACACTTGGACTTTCTACACAGACACTCAGAAACTAGTTGAAGAGGCTGTAACAGCCCACACTGAGGCACAAAGAATACTTTTTTAATATATACTCTACACAAGTACTTCAAATATCTGGACTGCTTTCCAAACATGCTTTCATAAATACGGCTAACATCGCATGTTACTTCATTCAACACTGATTATGAAATAAAGACAATACAATTCAGGACTTTGTTAAAGCTAAACAGCAAAAAGCAAATCCCTGTATTTCTTCAAAGCAGTTTCCAAAGATCCATCTGTGAGTACTGTGCTGCAACCAGGCAGATGTCTGGATGTTGTGGTAGCTGGTAAATATACTTCATGCCATTTCAATTATTTTATCTGCATATACTATATTTTTCAAACCCAATGTTTGGTTAAGTAACCCATACATAGCAAATAGCAGGCTGCTGTTTCAAACAATGGGACCTATTCCAGCCCCACTACCACCAACACATTTTCCTAGGAATAAAAACACACCAAGCTCTATAGAATGAGCCCCCAGAGAATTACCTGAATTTTACACTCTGCTTCCACTAGCTGCAGTTTGGTCTGGGCCAGCTCAAGCTCCATTTCCCTCAGCTGGTTTTTCAGAGTTTCCTTCTCCTCATCCGTGTCCTCATCTGACCCGTCCTTGGCAGAACTAGCAACCTTCACACGGCCTTCTTTGTTGAAGAACTCCCGGCAATGTTCACAGTCATCCACTTTTTGCTAAAGCAAATACCTGATGGTGAATGCCCGCGCTGACGTGCTGGCAACGCCATCAAAGCCTTTTCCTGCCTCTGCTCTGGCAGAGCGGCGCAGCGTGAGCACCGGGGATGACTTACAAACGCGGAGACGCCTGCGGGGCGCAGCCCGACCGGGCTCCAGCCAAGCCCAGACACTGCTGCGCTTTTGGTTACGCTCTCTTGCTGCAGTAACGCGCTCTGCACTGCCTCATGCTAAGGCAGACAGAGGAATCTCCTCCAGAATAAAAATAAAGTCCCTCCAAGCAATTAACAGTCATTATTCACATACATCGGTATGTAACAAATAGGCGTGGGAGAGAGCTGACAGCTACTCATCCATCCTCCAAGATTACCCCTCACATTCATCTTCCCCAAACTGTAAGCCAACCAAGAACTCTCTCTACCCTCCCTTTGCTAAGGAAATAAATTGTATGTCTTTGTTCAGAGATTTACACATTGGACACTTTAGTGCTACCTGTCATCTTACCCGTATTTTCTCAATTTCAGCTTTATTTGCCGTTTGTTGCTTTTCCAGTCGCTCACTCAGCTGAGAACAGATCTAACAGAAGCAAAACCACATTACCAAATCATTTATAAATGTAAATTTTATCTCAAATGAATGCCAAAGCACAAATCAATGTTATAGCAATACTAATATGGATAGTTTAAGGTCTCTGAAAAAAGTGTGGAAAATTGGAATACTGCATTAAGTCTTTTTGTGGTACACATTCCTCTCATTCTGTACAAACTCTTCTGTAACTGCAGAAGAGGCTGTGGTTTCAATGTGCGTTACTAGCAGTCTGGCCTTGCTAAAGGAGTCAGCAAGGTTAGGAAAAGCATGGCTATTCCGTTGCCTTTGGGATAAAGACAGCAGGGGCGTCCAAAAAAAAAAAAAAAAATCTATCCCCCAAGACCCATGCAATGCAGACCTAATGTTTTGATGGGTATGGGCCCATTATACACATACATGAATTTGCTCCCTTGTTGTGACCAGAAGCATGAACTCCAAAGGAAAATCTTTGAAAGTTAAAAGGTCTCTATGTTTCTTAAGTGCAATTAGCTTTTGATAGAAGAGCTGAAGATGGATGAGACAATTTTCTGAACAAATTTAAACTTTGGATTACAAAGGTCCACTGAACAATGTTAAGCTCTGACTGATGCTGTTGTGACTGATAACCTACAAATACCTATGTCACAGATAAACAGAACATCTTCCCACTTAACATAGCTAGAATGTCCTCTCAAATGCATGGCTGAAATTACACTTAATTTACAGATATCTCCTCAAATATCAAAAACAGGCTTGCAGTTTGAAAACAGAATATATCATCATTAAGTTGTGCTTACCTGTTTGTAGTCACCAATAATAGAGCTGTTCTTTTTGATTTCTGACTCTGCCTTATCTAGTTCCCTACGACACATTTCTTTCAGCTGTAGGAGGGGGGAAAAAAAAAGCAAACAATAAAAAAAAGATGTATTTATCTGTACAGTCTCAAAAATAATCGGATGGTATTTCCTCTTTCTTTTTAGCATCTCCCTCTCTCACACGGGCCTAGATTCTATGCCATGGAACAGTGGCACAGGCTAGCTCAGGGACTCTGAGCTGGACTCTGGTGGCCCTGATGGCTAAAATTGCTGCTTCTCTGTGCAGCAATCTTTGATACAATCTGTGCCTTCACAATTTCAAGTTAAAAACTCACTACCCTACAAACACCTGCCAGGAAAACAGAGAATTCTGCTTTGCTGACGTCCTTTACACTACAAAAGAGGCAGAAACATGACTTGGAACATTAAGCCCTTCCCACACTTGTCATTTTTAGTGTGTTTCCGTACTGCACAAAAATGTGAAAATGACAGAAATGCCCTTAACCTGAGCTGACTCTTCTTCTAGGCGCCTCTTTTCTTCTTCTGCATCAATCAATTTCTGTTTAGTCATTAGCAGTTCCTTATTCAGAGCATCTGCCTTCTCCTCCGCCTGAAACAGAGTAGAGCGTAGCCTTAGTGAGAGGCTTTCCTATTGCTGATGCTGCTGGACACCCATGGGTGCAGGATCCAGCAGAACACTGCCAAGAAAACAGTCTCTTCGTGTGTACTACTAAGACATCAACGTTCTGCAGATTGCTTTTAAAGAAAAAATATACAATGCCAAAGCAGTAAGAAATTAAAATTAGCAAAGTATATCACAACACTCCATCACCACAAGATGTTCCTGGAATTCAGTGATGAGTTTCAGCAATATTGAAGTAGGATTGTTCCAAAGAAATCCAATTACAAAATAATACTTGTTTTCTAACCAAGACTGGAATTTGACAGATAAATTTTGAAGACATAGAAAGGCACAGGAGAGTTCATGATATGCAACCGGTAAATGGCTATAACAACTTTAAAATGAAGTTCAGCTTGCAAATACTTCAACTTTCAGTGAAAACAGAATTCATGAAAAATGCCTCAAGGACATTTAAAACAATACCAAAGATCTCTGATGCCTACCAACAGATGTGACAGCCTCTTTACAGCATCACCCACGACACACTGCACAAGAAAACCTCATCTACCGGAAAACACACAGCAGTCAGAGACCATCCTCTCTTTTAAGGAAAGAGATGTTCTACCAAAAAGCGCACAAGCCCTTTTTTTTTTTTTTTACTATGTTTTTTTTAAAAAATAAAGATGTATAGTGGCAGGTTTTGGGAACAAGAAATGTTCTCACCAGTTTCTATTCCTGGGTGGTATAAACTGGTGCTAAATCGCACTACTGCATTTGGAGGTAATCTTGCCTTTCTATTGGGGAAAATGAAATACATTTTCCCCCCCTCTTCTGGATACTCTACTGTAATAAATATGCACTTGATAAATACATTTTGGGATAAGAAAATGAGAAAAATCTTGGCCTCTTCATAAACCACCCAAAAATATCTCTGCTAACGTGGACACCTTTTCTTGTCACACAGCAAACTGTCTCACAGCAACTTCGTACTTCCCAATAGGTGTATGAATTCCACATAAAAATAGATCAGTAACTCAAACGGTAGATGGAATGTTCAGACACTAGCTGTACCAATTCCCTTCAAAAGAAGAAAAATCAAAAAGTGAATTTTAGACCCTTAAAGTCCTGCTGATCCTTTAAAAAAAGATGACAAAGGCAAAGAGAACATCTTTTCATTATACATGGTTTTAAGCTGTTTTAAAGTGAAAGAAAACTGCAGGTTGGAGTCTGACAACAGCAGAAGAATGAAGTCTATTTTCTAGTCTAGGGCAAAGGAAATTAAGGAAATTCTTGTATTTCCAAATGCTTTGCTTTGATCTTCTAGGCTGCAGATTTCAGACATGCCATGAAGGTATCAGAAAAGGTGCATTATACAATGTCCTTTGGTACTTTTCTTTCAGGATATCTGGGTAGTAGAAATAAAACTTATGATTTCAGAGGATTTAATCGAGGTCCTAAAGTAGGATCAAACCTACACAACCTCTCTTGCGGAATAACCCAAATGCTACCAGCACCCTTTACCACCTTTGAATACACAAGTATTATACACACACTGGGCTATCTCTGAGGCTTTGCTTCGATTTTAGTCTCCTCTCACCTCTCCATTTAAATTAACCAATATAAAGCATCATCATTCAAACAAATCAAAATAAAACCACAGGATATAGGACCCTGCAGCACATGGGCTCAAGCAGCCATGAACAGCAAAAAGTCTCCAGTGCTTTTGTTGCTGTGGAGCAGCTGCTGGGCAGCCTGCTGGCCTTCTACAAGCTACCTTCAATGAAGTGAAAAAGCACAGGCATTATGAAGTGAATGTAACGATGCTTTGAGAAAACGCTGCATGGGACATACCTTTATGATTCATAGCACGTTTTAGCACTAAAGGGGAGCAGATGTAATATACCTGCAAGTCATTAAAACAAACCTCATAAGGAGCAGCATTCATCCCTTGCCATCAACATGTGCTGTGAATACTTTTCTAACAGAAGGTTTCCAGGGACCATGGGAATCCTTAAATTCTCTGAAGAATTTAAGCTGAAACATTTTAGAGCCTGTCAACTGCTGTGCTATATGATTTCCAAAAGCCAACTTCCTTTGAGATTTCAGAAATGGGCTTATCTTGGTACAGAACAAGAATGGCAAAGCAGGAGCACTCGAGGTCCTCATCTCCCCAAGCACAGAGGCTAAATTCATTCTGGCCCACCACATGCACTACTAAAACCAGGATCTTTCAGTCTCTGCACGTCCCATAAAAAAACATATCCCATTAAAATCTCCTAAGCATGAGTATGAAAAGAAGGGAAAGGGAGAGTGAGCTTAAATAGACTCCTGTAACACAGACTGCGCTTTGCTCCTCAGAGTAATGCTGAAAGGAAACCAGGAATGATGATGAGTTCACATGGACAGACTTCAACAAGCCAAACCCAAACCATACAAACATTTTCAGAGTTGCCTGAGGTGTTTGAAAATCTGATTCCACTGACAGCCAGCCAGATTCAGTTTGTAGGGACTTTGCAAAAGCCTGTCTGCAGTGAAATCTTATTCATGGAAACACGAGATGAGGAAAAACAATATACTGAATCTATCCTCTTATCTCTGCAGCAATTCAAAACCTTGACTAGTTCAGCTCCTGCTGTACTTTCTTTCCCTTTATACTAAGCGGGAAAAAAAAAAAAGTTTCTTCTCTTCTTTCCCTCAAATTGTTCAGTATATGTTTCAGAATATCAGTAATTCAGTCACAGGTCCAGTTTCTCATGAATGTCTGAGAAGTCCATATATCACCATTCTGCAATACAGACATGGAAGAAATAATTCTACCCCATCTATATCAACACCACAATTTTCTGCAGCACATTAGATACCCTGCAAAGGTGATCCCCCATCCTGGATAATGTCAAAATCTGCACCCACTCAAACTGTGGACCTGGCAGGATTATAAGTAACCCAGCTTCAGACAAACATATAGGCAATCCTTAACCCTGGAGGTAAGACACAAATGAAAATACATCCTATGAAGAACAAAGAAAGGGGGATTTATCAGTTGTGCCAACAGAAAAGGCAAACTTACAAAGTACAACGTGGCTCTCCCTACAGGCACCTCCAGAGAGGAGTCACTAAGAACCAGTCTGAACTACAGAGACTAAAAATGTGTCTTACATTATCTAAATCCTTTCGTAGAGCAATCTTGCTGGTCACTAGTTCATGTGCAAGATCATCATTTTCTTGCTCAAGCCTCATATTTGCTTCTTGTAGACGACGGTTCTCACGCTATGGGAAACAAAACAGAAGAAATTAAGAGGAAATTCTTATCAGATTCTTGTCCATTAACTGCAGTACTTACTGCACCTGAGGACAAGCACACAGCTTATATTCCAGGGACAAAAAGACAACTGTACTCCATGAGGACAAAAACAGCTAGCCATATTTTAAGTGTAATATAAATAAATAAAGTATTAGCTTTGAGAATAAGTCATTTATAAATAACTCTCCTTAACTATTATTTGCTGAGCTAGAGAAATGCTTTTGGAGAATGCATAGGTGGGGGTGTCATTCCACCATCAATACCTTGCCAGGAGGTTGCCACAAGTGCTGCTTTTCTCAGCTCAAAATGAAATTTGCATGCTGGAAATAGGGGGGAGAGGAGCAGGATCCTGGGAAAGCCATTCTATTTTCTTCTGCTACAGTTCCCAGAACACAGACAGGCGTTAAATTAAGTTCACATAAAATTCTTGAACTTAAAATATAAAAAGGTGTCTGTATATGCAGGTGCGTTGGTGTGTTATGTATATGTGCATGCCCACATAATTTTATATATAACATATTTCTATATTTTTACATATATATGTATTACTTGATACCGGGGTGAGGAGTGAAAATAAGATTATAATCAACAGAAGGCAGAGTTCAATCAATTAGGAATTTTCTTTCTGTTCCTGGCATTTATGTAATCAGCCAAATTACCTACTACATAAGTGCTGAAAACAGGTTCTGCTGAAACAGTTTTATGACAAAAATATAAGAACACACTCATCTTGATTTCCTTGTGAAGATGGGCTCACAATAACCCCATTACAGTTAATATTGCTGGTATAAGGAGATTTACTGCACAGTCCTATAGCAGATGCCCCTATTGCATCAAAATTGATCACATAACGAAAACTGCTGAAAGAAAAAGCAGTCAAAGTAGGAGCTTCCTGCAGACATAATGCATTAAATTAGACTATGGTGAGTGTGCATTACCTCATATCTTTCTATAGGATCCTCCTGTTGAGCTTGTTGCTCCCTCATGGCATGATACTCCTTTTCATATTTCTTCAGCTTCTTCTGACTAATCTAAATTAAAGCAGCCCATTAGTTCCTGCCCAGAACATCAATAGAAGAACACACAATTCACAAAGGGTTACAGTGCAAGCTTTAGGCAGCTCCTGCCTCTTCACATCTCAAACATTTTAAGTATCAAATCATTAGACGTGGTCAAAAATTTGGATCCATTAAATACAATCGCAGACATGCCCCTTCCTCTTCTCCCTTGGTGGAAACTAGAAAAGCTTCTGAAAAGGATCTGCAGGACCATCCTGCTTGCATTTTCCCTGGCACAAAACTACCTGATACTCCAAATACTGCTCAGCGAAACAGACTGGGCTGCAAGCCACCAGAGGTGCTTCTGAGCTAGCAGGAGCATTTGGTTCACTTTCCACAAGCCTGCAAGCGCTGCAAGGACAAGGGCAGGCTCGGCTCATGTTTCGGCTGGTGTTGTCCAAGCTCAGGAGAAAACAACCCGGCCCCAGGGCTGCCGCAGCAGCTCAGACGAGCAGCAGCACTCAGTGCTCGCAGGGGCCCAGAGATCTGCTCTGGGCACAGCGCAGGCAGGGCGAGCGACTCCGTGCACGAAGCTGTTTTGTGCACAGTGCTGCAGTGGAACAGGGAGCGAGGACACAGGAGCGAAGCTGCTACACAGCCCGAGCAGCTCCCTTCCCAGCGTAGGGATCCGGGATGCCGCATGCCATGGGGCTGCACAAGACACACCACGCCAAGACCACTGTGTGTGGTCCCCATGTATGTTAGTTACATCTACGTCAAATATTTAGTAATAAGATTTGAATCTTTAGTATTTCAGTAGACCAAATTAATAAACAGTGATGGCAATTTGGTCTCTTTAAAAAAGTAGGTCTGATGAAGTTACCAGTGTGCAAAATGAAAGCCAAAAGGCAAACATGGTTCGGTTTCTATAACCTTAGGTTTTATCGTTAAACAATCTTCCTTGAAATGAACTGTGGAAAACTAGGAGCTAAGCTCCCTCTAGCGAGAGTTGCACAGAAACATTTAACCATACTTCAGCTGATAATTTTCTTAAGAAGCCAGCCAATTTACCAGAGCCAGTCCAGCCTCATCAACTCCAAAAATTACTCTTTCCACTCAAGAGGAATCTTCAGAATATTAACCCTTTTCTGTCAATGAAGCCAATAACTTCAGTAGATTATTTCACTGCTTCGGCCCTGCTGAAATAATGCCCAAACTGTCGGCTTTCATGCAGCAAATCTGAAGCTGTGGGCACTGGCAGGTCTTCAGAAGCTGGGGTCTATCTCCTACATTTCTGAATGCATTCAAGCAGCTCTGCCTGTAGATATCAGTAATGAGGTGATCAGGAGAACGCTTGCTCATCACCAACCTTAGATGCCGGAGCCCTAGAGGGACCTGTGCCCTGGGCAGGTCACCAAGGCCTCTGGGTTTGCATGGTGGCAGGAGGCAGAGATGCAGCTTTCCAGGGTTGCAGAAAGCAGCAGTAACTGCAAACACTTGTCTGCAGCAGCGAGGAGTGGCCGTGAGAATGAAGCGTTGTCTCAGCTCATCAGCGCTGACCTCCTTTTCAGCAGAATGCTGTTGCAATCACAATGCCCTCGCGGACTACCTCTCCTTCCTATAAATTATTTATCTTGACATCAGACTCTTTTCTGCTCAAAAGCACTTCCAGACAAAGACCTGGAGATTTCTACTGACAGCAAAGGGCTTATATGTATATTTTAGGTCAAAATAGCAGTGCTGTGCACACCCAGGGGTGAGCCGCAGCAGCGAGCGTCTCCGCAGGCCCCGCGGCGCAGCCGCGCCTCCCGCAGCCCCAGCGCAGCCCCGGGCGGCCACGCGCTCCCGCGCAGCAACCGGCAACGCCGGCAGCACCGGAAAGAGGAACCGCCCGTTATCCTCAAAGGTGAAAGCCATTCTATGTGGTTTAACCAGATGCATATTTAATGACAAAACTATGGCTAGTGTTTAGTGATTGGATGAGCTAAAACACCAGATTTTCTGCTTGATTATTCCCCTCTCCCAACACTTGTTTCATGCAAGAAATGCCTGAAACTAGTGCATAATATTTATCTTGTGATGGGCAAATTTGTGTAAAACTGTAGACCCTCAGACTACAAAGGCCATAACTGATGAACCTGTTATTGTTATCTACTCTACAGTAAAAACTATGAAATGGTCCTGAACGGGAAAATTCATTTTAAAAGTTAACAAAAAGTAGCGTACCTTCCCCACCAGAAAACAGTGATAAATATACACAGACACCTTGAGATCATTCCTAGCTTGATTTCTAAAAAATTTTTAATGCCAGCTCACAATCCTTCATCTCCCTATATCTGTAAATCTATCAAAGCATTTTAATGTGTTCCCTATTTGCAGTACATTAACATTACACACACACAATTAAAGATTGCCATATTCTGTCTGAAATGGTGGTGTTCTCTTTCTGCATTACGTACTCTGTTTTAAATTAAAGAGCCTCGTTTCATGTTGATGAAATATATTATCCTTTTTGAAGCTATTACAGGATAAAAATTTCAGCAAAGAAATGCAGAGATGCCTTTAATTATTTTATTTTAGTGCTATTAGTCATTTAAAATGTTTTGACTGTTCCAGTTTTTAAAGCACTGGATGTTACTCTTGGAAAGCCAGTCTCTTCCGAGCTCTCAAGGCAGGCCCATGCCACTCATGGGGTTTACTGTGTTTCACTGGAGAGTGTCTGCAATGTACTTACACTTGGACAAGCACGTTGCATGTAAGCGCTGAAGCTGTACACATTAAAGAAGTTCTCACAGTCACTATTCTCACATCTTTACCTTCATATTACACGCTAATTCCATCAGCTTTTTTGCATTTTCCTCTGAACGGTATCTCTTGGGCAGTTGTACACGGAAGAATTTTAAAGCTCCTTCAAAGTCAGTTAGTAACAAGTCATCCTTGGTAGTCTAGAAATAGGAAAAGAAAATCAGTAACTGCGTAGCAGATTTTGAACAACTGCTTTACTCCCAGAGACAATAAAACAACAGCAGTTTCCTAAAGCCCCCAAGAAAGTATCTAGCTTTAGCTTTCTGCAAATCCTGTGCGATTCCATCTCTGCAAACTTCTCTTGACCCCTGCTCCACCGCTCTAAGGGCACTGCCCTGCGCAGAGCACGACAGAGAACAGTACATGTTATACAGATTGTCATTAGGTTTTTTTAATTATATATTTGGTAACTCCTTAATTTCTGATACTGCACATGGTGATGTGCAAAGTAGGATACTCACTTTTAATAATCCCAGTGCAACGTTGAAAATAACACTTATTCCCTGAAGAGAAAGACCATGAGAAAATAAGTTAATTTCTCGGTATTTATTTTGCCACTACTTATTAGACATGTTTTATTTATATTATCCAATTATCTACAAATAGCCCTTATATTCAGTAATAGAATATACTGTCTTAAGGGATACCCTCCATAACCAAGACACACTATTCATCTTCTTTCACGATGGTATCTCCCTTTCCCCCCACTGCTGAATTACTCTGGTTTTACTGCCGTTTTCAAATGATTATTTAAAATAATTCACTATGAACACATTTACTAATTATTAAATTAAAATGTGTGCTAAACAAATAGAATCAATTTTCTAGGTACCATCTGTTGCTTTTTATTACACTGGCACGTGGACAACGCAAGCAGCAGATAGACATACGGACAGGGTAAAAACACTGACCAGCAGATTTATAACTCAAGGATGCTTCATTAGAAAATGTTCTTTACCCATTCATGATAACAAGCTCAGATTCAAATTATTCAACATAACATTACAAAATATATTGTTATAAAAATGATTATTTACAGAAACTCAATGTGAAGACTGCTGAAAACTTTATTCGTTGTAGAAATATAACTCTTCTGCATAAAAACATAGCACTTGCCTAGCTATTCAAGAACAGGTAATAAGAAGGACATGAACCAAGATGGAGAGAAGGTGTCAGTCATTATCAACAGCAACAAATCTCTGCATTATAACACATACCTCACACAACAGCAAGTCGATAATATGGAAGACCATGTAGAGAGGGAACTTTGCAGTGAACAGGGTAAGGAACCACTGGGAAGCATACATGTGTGCTTCAAGGCTGATGTCCAGAAAGTGGTTATACAGATCAGGAATGCATTCCTAAAATACATAATAATAATAATGATATCAAAAAAAAAAATCTATTGAGCAGTGCTTTGAATTGCAGGTTCTGACCCGTTCACTTCCCCCAAGCTGGAGCACGTACCTGCATGAGGCGCTCCAGCTGGTAGAACTTGCAGTGCAAATCTTCAAAGTTTTGTTTGAAAAGCTCCCTGAGTCCATAATCAAACATGATTTTGACCAGAACACTAAAAGCTTGCTCTTCAGGCATCTGAGAGGAAAGCAGATTTAGCATTTTTCATACTGGGTGTGTTTGCCCTGTGCCTCCTCCCTCTCATAGAAAACCCAAATTATTATTGTTTTTTAATCTGGCCCTAACTGGTTTAGAGGTAAACAAGAATATGAACATATAAGACGAGAGCTAGCGTTAGAAACAGCGTTTAATTCTTGTTAAATGGAACAAATCACCTTGCAATCACTCAAGTAAAAACACTATTTTCAGACATGAAGATCAAAGTGGTTCTGTGCCCTGGTGACTTTGTCCAAATCACATCAGAATCGGATGCAGTGCTACAGATTTGGAGCAGCTTAAACCCTTGTCACCTAAACAGTTAAGACAGGAGCAGTAGTACTACAGAATGTTAAACAGCACCTTTCCCTTGTTTTTAGCTATATATTTACATTTTAAAATCATATTATTACATTTGATGTTGAATTTTTCAGATGGAATGAATGAGAGAGACCAGTTACTGCTAACAAAACTTCCATTTATCACTTCTCAGCACTGATTTGGGAAAGTTCAGTCTCCCTTTCCTGCCAAAAGCTGAAGAAATACTCATCATAGCTTGTCGGTGTTTATACATTTCTCCCTGACACCAAAATTCAGTTTTGATATTTTCAGAGTGAAGTCTGTTCCTGGAAAGGCCACAACAACTACCTCCAGAATCCTATTATTACTCTGCATATGGAGCTCATTAAATCTGAATACTTTTCTGAGACATTTTAATACTCTAGAGAAGTACTTGTAGAAACTTAATTTCCTTTTGTGTAACATTTCATTTTAACATATATTGTCCCTAACAGCCGAGCCCCGAAGACTGTCTTGAAAAAGAAAGCTTGAGATACAGGGGTTTTTGATGCACACTGAATTCCCAGAAGCAACAGCTATTGTTAAAGGAAGAACTCTGGAACTACACACAGTACGTTCTTGACTGCGAGTCTCTTAGTCCAATGGAAAATTTAAATAAATAGACAGAGGACAAGCAAAATGTATGAGTAAGGGTGTTTATGTCTTTAGATCAGATTAGAAAGTATCATTATTCTTAATCTGATTCAGTATCGATGCTATTTGGCCATTAACCAGGGAAAAGATATCACAAAATCCTACTGGTTATAGAACTGTTCACTTCTAACTATTGATTCTTACAATCCACACACTGATAAGCAGATTAAAGAAAAAAAAAAAAAAAGGGAAGGAAAGAACGGTCTATAAATAATTTCTACAGATTTCTAATTTTCTCATACTTCGCAATCATGAGTAAATATAAAACTTTTGTTTTTGATTTACAGTAACCATAAAGCTGTCTAGCTCCTGAACACCCAAGCAATTAAAGGATATTGCTGTGCTGAGGTCACTTCTACCAACAACAATTAAAGTTAAGAAAAGCATATTTAAGTATCTTAACAACATCAACAAAAAAAAAATATTTTCATCCTTGACTAACCCCTAAAACCAAGACACAAACATCTGCAAGACGATAGTCCAAATAAAGGCAGCAGAGCGTTCAAAGCACTGAGACCCAGGAAACCAGCCTCACAGTGACTTTTAAGCAGTGTATTCTTCTGTCTCTAAAAACATATCATTATTGACCAACATTAAAGCAGATACATGGCCTGCAACCTCCCTAGTTTGGGTAAACGGCATTTGTCCTAGATAAATGGAACAATATTTAGTCTTAAGCTTTAAAACAAATTGGTAGGAAAAAATAAAACCAGTGCAGCACTTACATGCAGAAGCAGCACAGCAGCAAGAAAGGACTGGCCTTGACAATAGCCAATCTCTTCATCGTAGACAGAATAGGCCTAAAATAATAACAAGAATAACATTTTACAATGTCTCTCTCAAGAGAAAAAGAAAACAAAGAAAATATTGCACTTGTCTGAGTAAGTGACTCTTATCTGAATTCCCTATATGCCAGACAAACACTTACAATAAAGAACCAGCCTGACTCTGGTGGCATAATGAAACTCCATGGCACTTAACTATAACACATATGCAGCCTCCACAGGAAATGGAGTTACATCTGCTAATGATACACAGTGTAAATTACTAAAATTAGCAAATAAGAGTGTAAATAATACCTTGCATATTTTGTAGAGGGAGTCCTGGCCATCTCCCCCAGTATCTTTAAAATAATCATGAGCAGGGAACGTTCGATTGATGTCACGGGTGATAGCACTGTCTTGGGGAGACTCCTATGGGAAAAATAAACAAATAAATAAATAAAGTATATTAAAACAGGAAAAAAGTATAAACTGTAATATGCTAGAACTGAGAGTTAGGATGTGCGTGGCGTTCTGTAAGCTGTTCTGAACTCAGCAAAGTGCAATGTACTCAAGCAGCCCAGGTCCTGCAGACCAGCAGCTCCAGATCCCCGTCCTGATGGCTTTAGTCACCTGGGCACACGTGGGCAGGGTCAGGGTGGCACATCACGAAGCGGCCCAGGCCGCTGCGGGGCCGAGCGCGGCCGTCCCTGCGGGGCCGGCTGGACCCGTCCCGCGGGCGCATCTCCTGCCCCGGGGGCTGCAGAGGACACCCGGCAGCTGCAGCCTGCCCTCAATTCCACCCCTTGGTTACGGAGGGTAACTACAGTCTGCTTGTTTTCCTCTTCTCATTTTAATCCAAGTTTAGCACTCCTCTCTGTGGCTTTTGAGAAGCATTTCATTAGGAAAACAGCATATTGCTACTAAAATCAAGTTTTTAGCTTGCCTTGAAAATGGTATCAAAATTGCTGCACAGCATTTCAGTTCAGTAAGAATTAACATGCCAAAGGTCTGTCTCATTACAATGAAATCAGAAGCAAACAAAATCCAATGCTAAAGAAATTTCATACAGATACAGGTCTTTTAAGTCAACACAGGCAGGTAAGTTAATGGCTAGTTTGGCACTCAGGGGGGCAATGCTCAGAAATCAATTCTGAAAACTCTTAAGCACGTGAATAAGGTATTCGGGATAACTTTCAGCTGCCTAAAGGTTTCCAAGATGGAATTCCAGCGCAGTGCTCTGCTTTGCGAGGCTCTGGGCGCTGCCGAAAGCCATTCTTGGCACCAAGTGCATTTTGTGTGCAGTGCTACAGCATGGACAGCAATCTGAACCCCACTTGCCTTTTAATCCACTTTTTTTTTAAATAGCAGAGGCAAAAGTACCTGGCTGGAAACTCCTTCAAGTAATTAACTTACTATAACTAATATGAAGAAACTAGAGGTCCCTGTGCTTTTGTGTGGCTGTTCAGCGCTGGACTCCTAGGTCTCAGCACCCTTCTTCCAACAGCCCTAAAGCTGGTTCCTGATGCTGAAACGTAGTTCGGGGACAGAAAAATATACGGAAACGATAAACTTTAAAAAAAAAAAAATGTTTTTCAAACATGGCTTTGAAATCTCTCTATTAGTACAAACTGCTGCAATCCAAGTATTGTGTAACCTTTTCTTTACTCCTATTTTTATACCTTGCTGTGAGAATTGGCTCAATGGGCAATTTCTCATGCTTCCAGGAGACTGGGAACTAAAGGAAACCCTTCTGAACCCACACCCTTTACAAACTGGAATTGAAAAATAGAAAGCTAAGAATGACAGGAAGAAAAAGAAAGCAATAAAGAAAACAGAATGGAAACAGAATGGAAACAGTCATGAGAACTGAGGCAAGTGTAATGAAGATTAAAATTCTCGTAACAGTTCACTGCTCTGAAGGAAAGCAGGAAAATGTGGATGCTCTTGCTGAGAACATACCCTTCCCCTCCCTCTTTTATGCACTGAAAATTATTATTGGAGTTGCACTAAAGACTTCCTCTCCAATTGATTCACAGTGAAACAAGATGAGCAATTGAGCTGAGATCCAGTCTAGCAGAGAGAAACTCATCTATCGTATCAGCCTTCCTATAAAAACATACTTGTTCCCATCTCCTATCTGTGTCACAACACTTAAAGAACTTTTTTTTTTTAATATATTTTCCTCTAAATTTAAGATATCATTGATTTTCCTGGGAGCATCCCTGGATTCTAACAACCTTGATCAATGCCTTTAGACTGTATCCCTAGTCTAACTGAGCAAACACATCCAAGAAATGCCAAATAAAGTGCAAACTGAAGTAACTTTCTCAGCAGTTTCTCGATGGAAACCTGATGGGAGGCCATCCCCCTAAGAAAATAAGACCCAAGCTCTGCTTGATGCTCACTCTTGCCCTAACGGGATCAACTTTCGCACTGCAGTTACTGCTTACAGAGGTCCCACTGACGCCACAAAGATCTACAGCCAGGCAGAGATCCCTGCGAGACGGGAGAGGGGAGCCTCGATCCTGGGAATCCTCCTTCCTCCAGGCGCTGGGCACACGTGCCCTGTCCTGGCAAGGCAGATACACGGCCTTTAACAGAGCAAGAAGCTGAAAAGGCTGAAATCGGCTGAAGCTTTCGCGGACAGGCAACACTGACAGCCTCATGGATAACATGGAAAAGCTATTCCAAGCAGATCTGCACGTTTTAAACATATCCTAAGATATCAAGAAGTCTCTCAATATCAATTTTCACTGTTAGTCAGACAGCCTGTCACCACGTTTATTTTGCAGGTTAATGTCGTTCCCAAGGTTATTCCTGGTGAGCAGCCTTGCCCGGTCGTTCCCGCCGAGTGCACCCACTGCACGTGCTGCCATCGAAGCCAGCGGAGAGGCTCGGAGCAGGGAGGGTTCCACCTGCGAGCGGGATCTTTGGGAACGGCGGTGAAACGCACTCGCCCGGGGCTGGAGCAATACGCGGAGCAGCCTCTCGCAAGCCATGCTGCACCCGGAATGTAGCACTGCCTGGCGTCGGCACCATGGAATACAGCACGGCCTGGCGTTAGCACCATGGAATACAGCACGGCCTGGCGTCAGCACCATGGAATACAGCACTGCCTGGCGTTAGCACCAGCTGCAGATGAGCAGCATCTGTGGAAAAACCTGAATAATTCAGACAAACTCAGAATGGCCAGAGAGCTGCAATTTGGTACAATAGTGCATTGATTCAGCATATTTTCAGTCCAAATATGGCAATATAGTACAATCCTAAAAATAAAAGTGAATCCCTTGTGATATCCAGCCCTTTAGCTGTGCTCGTTTCCTTTTAGGGCTCAAGTTTCCCACAGGAAAATTAGAAAGAGGAGTTTGCCTGCAGTGTCCTGCAACATGTATGGTCAGAGCATAACCAAGCAGCGCGTTTTGGAAGGCTTTCCCACTCCTGGCGGTTACGTCCAACCAAGCCTATTTAAAGCCCTAGAGATAGGAGGAAAAGCATCCACCTGCTCCAAAAGGAGCACCCCTCTATCAGCACACAGTTACACAAAAGTCATCTGAGACAAGACTTGAAAACATGTGACGTATCATTTATTTCTTAAATGTATTTATGATCCATTCAGACCTTTCAAATAAAGTGTACAAGTGCATTTCAGAATAAAAAACTACACTCTTCACACAGCTCTGTAGAACACTACATTTCATCAAGAATTTAGAAGCAAAAACTTCATATTAAACCACCCATGCATCCTTTGGCTACAATAATATCACTGATCAACAAGTACTGCTATTCAATTCTGAGCATCCCTTTAAAAAGGAGGAGCACCTCAAAATACGCTGCCCCTTCCAAAGACCTCTCTTTAGATAGAGGATGTTAAATAAATTAGCTAGGCTTTTAGGCAAAACAGTAAGGCTATTTAGTACTGTTGATGCATGATCCATATATTTGGAGAACAGGCAATCCCAGGCGATGTGAAATTTGTCAACAGCCCTTTAAATTTTAGTAGTATCAAGATTACATTGGACCAAAACAAATGACAGACAAGAATGTAACCAGTAGAACAACCATGGAAATATGTGGCGTTTCTCTTAGGACGGGAAGTGTTGGTAACAGATTCAGCAAAGTGTTTAGAAAATATGCTAAGAAACACATCGACATTCTTAAAATTATGTATTTTACAAAGCCCTAGTGTAAACTGTGTGACTGTACAATTACCGCCATGTTAATTTGGTTGTTTTAAAATACACACACACATATATACATATATATATGTATGTACATCTACAGCAAAAGGGAAACAAGCCATTGGATGTATGACAGCTAGAACACAGACCATCTCGAAGGGAGTAATACATGTGCTCCAGTATTAGCAGCTCATAGCAAAATTAACTCTTGCAAATAATTATGCAAAGATTTAGAATCAGATATTTTACATATTTCAGTTTATTCTAGTACTGTTTAATATTTGAAAATATGTAAATATTTTTAATCAGTAGCAATTGTCATTTTGGCTCAACTTTTTTTTTTCCTATTATCAGCCTTAGCTGAAAAAAATCAGCTGCAGAAATGTTTTAAGATAACAGGGTAAAAGTACTCCTGACCCCTGTATTTGAGCAGCAATTCTGAGCTGGCACTAAATACACATTTTTGGAGCCACAACATTCTCTGTTCCTCAGCTGTCGTGAATATCAATCAAAATGCCCATCTTCACCATCTCCCCCTTCCCTTGCAGGGTTCCCAACAGAACAAATCCAGGCAGGGATTAGGAACACCATGGAGCCTAGACTGATACCGTAATGCTCTGCACTGCCACAATTAAAAACAGTATTAGAGAGTCTTAGAGGTCGGATTGGCTCAGAATTCACCTGTTTGCTTTTCTAATCTGCTTTGGTGGATTTTTTTTTTCCATAGTTCTTAACAGCAGGAGTTTCCACGCTTAAACCTTTTTTCTTTTAATACAAAATGATTTCCAGCGTTAAAAGGTGCACAAAATACTTACACACACGTACACATTCTTACATGCGATTTTTATCTATTCTTGGCCTTTTCACTGACATGTAGGTAAAAAAATACCAGTCGTGATACTACTTGTGTAAGGAACTAGACTGACTCCCAAACAAAATTCCTCCTACCAAGCATCAGTCAGACGTGTTGAACCGCCACAGGACACACCGAAATAACCTGACCGGCGGCATCCTGTTGCATTAGAGAAATACAAAATTGAATCTAGTGTTTACATGCTAGAATTACAATAGGAACTAGATTTCAAAGGTTACATATGGAGAGAAACTTATCAGCATAGCAACTTGCAGACACTGTGCTGCACAGCCTTTCTAAAGACACAATTCTGCAAAGACCGTGGACGTGTTTGCAAATCCTTCCAGACAGTTCAAAAGTGTGGCTGAGGGTAATGCTGCTTCCCGCCATCTGAAAGG